TGCTGTGCATAAGCCCTATTAATCTACATTAGAAACATCATGCTACCTTGTAAGCATTCAGCACGTGACATGTATCAGATTAAGGAAGCCCACACAAGGAAATATATGAATACTAATATCCCTTTCTAAATGAAATACTTCCCATCTGCCTCTAAGCAAGAACGCAGCCATTTACAGCAAAATTACAACTGCCTAGAATTTTAGTATCTCGGAACAAAGTCTTACAGGGAAAAGGCTTACATGTTACACTACTGAATTACTGGGTAACCAATACTCTTTTTTAAAAAGTAAAAAAAACTGAATCATTTTGATATCAAATTAGATTGTCAAAACATTAAAAAAAAAGACTGCAAGAGATCTGCTCACCCAAAGGATGTCCTGCCAGCATAACAAACTTGCATAGTATTCAGTAAAAACTGTTTAAGACGATAAATCAATTATTCGGCTGCAAATTCCCCTTAAAAATAACAGGTTTCCAAATGCATTCATTCTTAGAGAGCCAGGAGAATAAATCAGGGGTTAAACTGACCCCAAACATCCTCTCCCCCACCCCCCTTTCAGTCTTCTCTTGCTCCGTTCTTTTATAAAATGCTTAATTTCTTGCATAACAAAACAACCCAGACCCAAAGACAACCTACAGAAATAGCAGCAAGGGTACAGTCATAAAGGAGAACATTTAAATAAAGGGAAACAGCTTAAAATGGCAGCTGACATATCTAGTGAGAGATCACTGGTTCTCTGGGAACAATTCCTGGTACCTGGGAGGGTCTGCTGAACTAGAATTCTCATTCTGAGTCAACCCGTATTCACTAAATCTTCACTGTAACAGTATCATGTTTCTTTCTACCTATATTCTGTTTCTTCTGTGTTTAATCACCTTCCTTCCTAAGCAGCCACAAGTAGGTTCTATACACCTATACCAAAATGCTACTCCTGGACTGCACCCCCAATCCCAAAGAGGATTAAAAAAAAACCAACAAAAAACCCAAACCTTTAGACCCTGCCTCATTACCTTAGCTAATGGTATCTCTGGTCAAGCAAGAATGCTAACACTCATTATTGTCCAAAAAGCAATCTTCTCCCAAATTTCTGAGGACCACCCATTTAAAAAAAAAAAAAAAAGGCACCAAAAAACTCGTTCCTGCCGTAGGATGTTGACAGGTTTTAAAAACCCAAATGTCAGTCTTTTGTGCACCACATACTCCATCTAGTATATTACAGTTAGACCCTACTAAAGATCACCTTGAAGTTCCAATTCTTGTTTCCTTGCGTGGTTCAACGAACGAAAAATTCCTCCTAGTGCTGCCAGAAAAGGAATAACCAAAATTTCAGTAGCCCTCAGTAAGAGCTTCTCTATTATAACTATGCAACTAATAATGTCATCGCAAATGTAACACACTGTTACTTGCTATTATGTCCAAGACATCATAAGCAGAAACCTCTTTTCCAGCTGTTCCCTAGAAATCTGTGCCATCCTCCCCTCCCTACCTCGTGTACTAATGTCTGAAAAAGCAGGAGGCAGAAAGAAGTGTCCCATTCTCTGGTAAACTCTCCCACTGAATTGAAACAGGTACAATTTTAACTCAGAAATTGAGAAGGATTCTGAAACTGCTACTATTTGTCAATGTAATTTTTTTAATCAATTTGTATTTTTCAGGCTCTTGCTTTATAACTACGGGTGATAATGAGATGGTGAAAAAGAAATTCTGGATTTCAGCATACTCCCTCAACTATCATTCTAGAGGTTTTAATTTGCCCTTTTCTGCCTCAAGCAAAGGCCAGTTTTATCAGTCAGTCTCTCCAGCTGACTTAAATGAACTGCAGGCAGTTCTGATACTGCACGTACCTCCGGCAAAATGAACTGCTCTACTGGCTTGTACCACAATCTGTTCACTTGCACTCCACAGCTTGGTGGACTAAAGCGAGCACTAAAGAGAGCTTCCTGTGAAAAACAAAACAACAAAGCACACATTAAAAGTGCTGTGAGATTATGCAGATCTCGATCATCTCAGTTAGTCACAATAGAAAGCAGCTTATTGATTATATAAAACTTAGTGAAAGTTTTGTTCTCCCAACAGTCTCAGACTCCACACAACTTGAGAGATGGATGGATATGGTGGAAGCAAGGAACAATGGAAAAAAAGTGCAAGTTCAACTAGAATCAGAGCCAATCATCTGGAAGACTCAGACTCATCTCCCAGTTTACAGACTTTCTATCCTCTGTTTAAATAGCTGACTGCTATTAACTGCAACAGAGGATGCTGACCCCTAAAACCGAATTGCTACTATATTACATAGGCCACCAAATGCTCTTACATAATAACAAATTACAAAGATGCTGCATTGCCAGATTCACAATCTTCAGAAAACAGTCTCCGAGCACTCCTATGATACCAATTTTTCTCCTTCACTGGCAGTAAAAAGCTACTGCAGATCAAGGTATTAGGGTCTCAACGTTTAGAATTCTACCATTTAGCAAACATAAACCTAATTGCAGTACATGTTATTTTTTTGCTATTATAAACCCAAGTCTTTAGAAGTTCATCATAAAAGCCATACTTCAGTACATTTTCTGTACTTAATTTTAATTATTAGCTTAAATTTAAAATTCTTTCTATTGTAGCATAGCCAGAAGTCTTGAAATCGGACTACCAATTTTTTCAATAGGGATAAATGCAATATACCAAATTCATTAATCATGCTCAATGATTTTTTTCCTCCAGGTTAGCACTAAGCTATTCTATCAAACTTGTAACAGCTTGGGAGTGGGGGGGAATTATCACTGAAGTGTAATAACCTGTAAATAATACCAGTGTCTAGAAATCTCAAAATGTCTTGCCCAAAGACAGACAAGAAAAAATTACAGCTGTCCTGCATCTCTCTGCTTGAAGGCACCAAATATGTCTTTCTGCACATGTGCTTTAAATATACTCAAGTTTATTTTTTTATTCCTTAGTACCTATCAATACTTTAGAACTTCAAATGCAATCAAAATTGTGTCTCAGAGTCAGATGTAAGTGCTCTTTCAAAAGGGCATTTAAATTAACTCATGGCACTTTGTGAATGTCATCTTCTCCTCATCCGAGATGTGTGCACATATATATATA